CAACGATCTTAATAAGTCCCTCCGTCCCTCGAGAGATCGATAACCATTTCGTAACCGCGCTCGCGTTGCTTCTACGCCGGAAGTTCCGTTCACGCCGCGGCCATTCGCTGCTGGACACGCGAGAAAACGTTTTCCATGGAAAGGAGAAGCGATTTCCAGTGTGGGAAATCGGTCGTAATTCATTTCACAAAACGAGGCGAGGTCTTGGTAAGTTGGAAAGTATAACGAAGGTTGTTTCCTCTCGTCTAGGGGATTATAGTGACTTCACGTTAGGATGACTTGCTAATGAGTAGATGAATTCGCAGAAAAACAGAATTGTACTTGTTATCTTTCTTGTTTCATTTGATAAAACGAGGCGAGGTCTTGGTAAGTTGGAAAGTATAAAGGTTGTTGCCTCTCGTCTAGGGGATTATAGTGACTTTACGTTAGGACGACTTGCCAATGAATAGACGGCTATCTTTCTTGTTTCATTTGATAAAACGAGGCGAGGTCTTGGTAAGTTGGAAAGAATAAAGAAGATTGCTTCCTCTCGTCTAGGGAATTATAGTGACTTTACGTTAGGACGAGTTGCTAATGAGTAGACGGATTCGTAGAAACACAGAATTGTACTTGTTATCTTTCTTGTTTCATTTGATAAAACGAGGCGAGGTCTTGGTAAGTTGGAAAGAATAAAGAAGATTATTTCCTCTCGTCTAGGGGATTATAGTGACTTTACGTTAGGACGACTTGCTAATGAGTAGACGGATTCGTAGAAAAATAGAATTGTACTTGTTATCTTTCTTGTTTACAGGTGGTATATATATATGTGTGTATGTTCGTGGTGTTGAATTAGCGTGTTTAAGTAAATATCAATTTTAGTTTAACTTATTAATTATGAGACTCGCCAAAATGGCTTGTTTTTGTAATTAATGGAAGCATGGGGTTGAAGTATACCTTGGAGCTTATGGTAATTTTAATGTATTGCTTATGGATCGATGATTTATTAGCGAGTTAACGATTTCGTTGAGGATTAGAATTGTTCTTGTTATTTTTCCTGTTTATTGGTAACGTATATATACGTTGTGTTGTTAAACTGGTGTGTTGGTAGCTCTTAATTTTAATTTAACAGTAGAACTACTGGACATATGGAAATCACTTGGTTCGGGTAATTTGCTTTTATAATTAGCGAAAGCATAGAATTATACTTGGTATTTTCCTTGTTCACTCGTGACATGAATATATGGGGTTGTTAAATTAACGTGTTCACGTAAATCTTAATTTTAAATTAACAGTAGAACTACTGAGCATGTCAAAATGATTGGTTTCAAATATCTATACTGATATATTATTTTATAATTATAATCTATGACCATTTTCATTTACCATGTTTGTGTAATATGTTTAAATATTCATTACACGCTGGTAGTTCTAGTGTTAACGATTAGGTTAATTTTATTTCAAGTGTAAACCTTGGAAAACTACCTACGTGTGAAAGGGGATTAATTTTATGCTAAGTGTACAGTTGTACCTCGTTTTGGTTGTATAATAATATATTAGTATAAATGGTAACAATGATAACAAGCTATAATCGAGTTCTGCCATGTCAAAAAATTAACAAATAGTTGTACCCATTTAAAGCTGCAAGAAGAAACGAGAGAAAAGAATTAAAGCTGATGTCAGTGACGTTATCGATAATTATTTTGTGCGATTTAAGTGTAATACGTTTCGTTTATTTATTCAGAAAGTGTGAACCTTCCTTTATTTTTTAACGCGTCGAAATCAGGCCCATAAACTGTCAGTTATTCCAGAGAAGATCGAAGATTTGAGGAAAATATTCTTCAACTTCGAGATATATTTCAGAAATTTAGAAAATATTTTAAAACTTTAAAGATATTTTGCAATTCGATTCAGCAAGATAAAGCTGCAAAGAATTTATATTTTCAACATAATTAGATTTTAGAATATTGGAAATTTTCATTACTTCATATTTTCACACAAATATGCTTTTGTTACAAATAAATAATTACTCTAACGAATTTCTAACAACGAATACCGAAGCAAAGAAAATTACAACAAAACTCAAATAAATTAATAAATAAAATAATTGGCAAAATAATTCTCCCTCATTTTCTCCTGAATACCGAGTTTAACCTAAACCTAAAGCAAAGATAGAATCCAACATATAAGCTACACTACGTAAAATCTCTAAATCCCAAATTTTTCCATTCCCAAACTCCCTTTTCCTCAAACCCTTCATCCTCTAGCCTAATCTCAACGCGTCGATCCACTGAATAAATCAATTGAACGTCATTTCCAACTGTATCAGTGCCTGTGATTTTCCTCAACAGGCTTGGACGTGCCATAGTCAGTCTCGTACTGGTCGTCGTTCACATAGTAAACCTTGCTCCGGTAGTTGTACGGCCCCTTGGTCTCAGCTGGCAGTGGCTTTGGCACAAACACCGACTTTGGTTTATAAGAGATGCTGTTGGCGATCACCTCGTATGGTAACCGGGCCTGGTATTGCAGCAACTGCCGGATCTCCATAGGCATATTCTTGTCGATAACCAGTTTGTGAGGAATAGGCGATGGTAGCCTCTCAATGGGTACAGGTATGCGATCCAATTGTGGCTGTTGTTGCTGTTGTTGCTGCTCCTCATAATCGCTCTTGTACACGATTCTGCCTTGCAAACTTCTGTCCGGGTACTCTCGTCTAGACTTCTGCTGTTCCTCCTGTTCATAGTTCTCTAACGATTGGTCGTACTGGGCCAGGCCAGCATTCGCTGGCTGTTGATTGTACTGCTGAGGAGCTGCGATACCAGTCGGATAAGAGTTGTAAGATTGGTCAGGATGAGCATTTTGAGGCTTGAAGTTCTGCAGAATCACTTGCTTCGCGTGAGAGGGTGCTGGATCTTGGTAATTGCTGTACTGAATCTGATTGGGATCAGGTTGAGCTTCGACTGGGCCTTGAGATTGCTGATACGACTTGTACTGCAGCTGACTAGCGTCTGACTGTGATTCCACGGGCTGAGGTTGAACGTATGTTCTGTATTGTATCTGATTGGGGACCTGCTGAGCTTCTGGCTCAGTCTGATGCTGCTCGAACGACCTGTGTTCCAAGGTGTCACCTTCGACTTGCACCAGTTGAGACTGAAGTTGCTCTTGACTCAGGCCTGATGGATGAGGATGATCTTGCTGTGGTTGCTGAGAAGATTCGGGGTTTTGGAGGTAAGGTCGCCATTGGCTCGGAGGAGCGAAATACTTCCAGTTGACCTTCAGGCCTGCAATGACGGAGGATGTGCGTGATGTCATTGTTGGCAACCGGTTTAGCGTCGTCTGGTTAGGTAATAGGTGAGAAGAAAGTGGAATGTGATGCGACGAGGAAGATTGAGATCGTGATAGTTTTGTTTCTGCTCCGATCACTGTGGTCCTCGTGCTGCAACTTGAAAAGCCTCGAGATCTCGCAGTAAATGGTCAACTTAAGTTTAGGATCTAGGCCAATTATTAAAGGAATAATCTAATGCGATATCGTAACTAAGGATTATCATAAACTACGTTAAAGAGTGAAAAATTGGACCTCATAGATCATCAGGATATTCACACAACTTTGTCATGAGTGTAAACTTGACAGCAGCTGGGAAATAATACTCTAATTTACAGGTAAGATCTTCACGAACAAGCAATTAAATCTGAAAACAAACGCTTCCTGGATGTGAAATTTAAGCTTCTCGTGAGAACAATTACGCGATCAATCACATCATACTCGTCACTCGTGAACAATGCACAATTCTCGACAAGCCACTCATCGAATCATCGTAACCCATTACCATCTTCCAATTAAACTTGTAGTAGCCCGAACAATCGTACTGACGATTCGCGATAATTTCGATGGAGGAGGAAAAGAAGTGTAATTACGAGATCTCTCATAAAGAAGGATATTCGATTGGCCACTTTCGAATCGGTTCTACTCACCGTTCGGATCATTGTACTTAATTTGCGCCTGGGGTGATCGAGCGGAACGCTTCTCGGTCTGTTCTTCCGCCAGCGCCGTTGAAATCAAAGCGATGAGAAGGACCTGCATACAGATCGAATCGCGAATAAATTACCAACCATGAGAAGCGTCCCCCCACTCCCGCCCAATTTCACTAGGGACGACTGCAGCGATGCTGTAACGGTAATGGGATCCGTTAGAAAGTAAAGTCTTCGTAGACTCTTAGGTCGTCTTTCCCCGTGGCTCGTTGGAAATCGACTCCAACGACATCGCACGCGGAAGAGAATTCGTACGTTCGTTTTGTTCAATAAAACATTTGACTAGCACCAACGTTTCCGCCTTTGTCCCGTCGCTTTTGCATCAGCCGGGCCTGCCGTTGCAAATGGCCATCCACGGGACGTACACTGCAGCGCCGCCTGGCGTTTCACTTCCTTTTGCGGCGCTCGGTATTATCATAAAATTAAGCCGACCCGTGTTAGCAAGCGCTATGGACCGTACACACCACAGTATGCTTAATAACTGCTAACGGTGGGAAATTAAGGCTGGCTCCGTTTCAGCGGACCAACTTTCGTTTCGCAATTCTAATTTGAATATCGGAAACTTTCCATTGATCGTGAATGAATTACACGTAAACACCACTGGGAAATCGAGATGAAACAAGTACTTTGTCTACAGCGTTTTGTCCCCAGTCTTCCATTTTCGAATATTTTTAACCCTTTGCACTCGAGAGGTGAGTTTCACCGTTTCATCAAATTTCGAAGATCGATATTAATTAATATATCAAATTTAACGTAACGTAACAGTGTGCAAGGTATCGGAATCAAATAATTCTACAATTTTATATTTACTACTCAAAGAAGTATCGTCAGTTTTTTACTAGAGAATCTTTGAATTTACACTCTTCTTTAGCCAAAAAATCGTCGAGTGCAAGGGGTTAATTCCTTTCATTATCCAACCGACCTGTTATATCCCAATTATTGCAGAGATTTTTTTAAGAAAATTATAATTATATTTTATTATAATTTTTAAGCACGTTATATCATAGTGTTACTGTAATATTCGATTTCTACGGAATAAAAAATTCATCAAATTAGAAATTTACGTTTCAAATATTGTTTTGCTCCTGTTTATGAAATTATTAACTACCAAGGTGCAAGTTTGTTATACACGTGGATGGAGTAAGTGACAACGCCATTATGTTATATAAAATCAGTTCCCACTTCTTTGCTTAAACATCAGAAACAAGAATTTCCTTAAAATAAGAAGCATGCATGAGTGAATCGAGCCTTGAACTAGAGTAACGCCAACTACTACTACATAATTAATTCACGACTTCTGTTCACGGTTCTGTCTACGAGCATGAAGGAGAGTACCGCCGTGTGAAAAGCGAGAATCAATTTTCGCAAAGAATATCATAATTACAAAATTCAAAATAATCTTCGTTCGACATTTTCAAGCTACTTTAATTTAATTTCCCGAACAATTCATAATAACGATACGTACATCGTATAAACAAAAATTGACATAAACACGTATACGATAAATTAACAAACACGAAGAAGAAATAGCAAATAACAGCTAGATATAAAAATAAATTTCAGAAAAGTCAGTATACCCATAAAAAGCGTCTACGAAGGCACCGATACCACTTCTCCCTTCCTACTGAAACTTATCACCATACCAAGCAATAGCCCAAGGAAAGTAGCCAAAGAACCAACTCAACCCTATAAGTCCTGTCCAGCCTGCACTTTTGCCAAACGTTCGACTAATCAGCCGATCGACTAATGGTATCACATGGAATCGCGATCAACGTGTCCACCACTGACTGCTTCCAGCACGAACACACTGTAATATAGGTACGTCACTCACTATAGACTAGCAAAATGGAGCAGGAAATACTCGACACTCGAAATCCCATATCTATCCTGGGGATAAGGTTAAAAGAAATGAAGAAAGCCACAGTGAAAGGATAACGAAGAGAGCCGAGGGTTCTGATGCACTCACTCGAAGCTTCATGGCTGGTTGTGAGGAGACGATGAACGTTGGATGCTAGGTTCGCGGGTCTACGAGCGGAAATCAGTGGACGGGGCTGCCGTGGCTCTTCTATATACTCGCAGTCGGCCTGGTGTAATTGGTCGGTTAAGCAGACGGCCGGTGGCTACCTACTTTTAAAGTAATTCTGCCTCTGGTAACGAGCGAACCACCGAGGCCCTCGGGATATTATCGGGGCCGATTGCAAGAATGCGACGCTGGCGCAACTGTGTTGCAAAGTTGATTTAGGAAGCTGCTCGGTGTCCGAGGTTACTGGAATTTGCCAGCGATTCGGAGGGGTCAGTCACGGTGAATCGATAATCGGGAATATGATCGGTAGATGATGCTTTCGGGGGAAATTTGGTAATTAGCGTTGGTGGCGTTGCGGTTCTACTGTTTTAGGTAAGAAAGTATTTCTACGGATCGGTGTCTCGCAATGAGTCACTTTTTCTGTTGTGTTCTTTCGTTTTCCCTGTTTCGGAGCTTTGCCGTTTCATTAGCGTTCGCGAAATGTGAAATAGGAATGTGAAATCTCCTTTATGTTAAGTACCCTTTATATTGGTAATAATTAATTTCTGAATTAATGAATAATTAATCTCCTTTATATTGGTATACTTTATGTTGACAATAATTAATTTCCGAATTAATGAATAATTAATCTCCTTTATACTGGTGTCCTTTATGTTGATAATAATTAATTTTTGAATTAAGGAATAATTAATATAAAATTAACTAGTTAAAATATATGAATATCGATATTCGAAAATGAATCAAATTTTTCTGCACAGTAGGGAATTACAAGTGGTATTTTTTTAATTTGTTATGTACTAATTAATGTCCTTTACGTTGATAATAATTAATTTCTGAATTAATGAATAATTAATTTATAATTAGGCAGTTAAAATATATGAATATCGATATTCGAAAATGAATAAAATTTCTCTACACAGTAGAGAATTATAACTGGTATTTTTTATTTTTTTAATTTGTTGTGTACTAATTAATCTCCTTTATATTGGTGTCCTTTATGTTGATAATAATTGATTTTTGAATTAATGAATAATTAATCTCCTTTATGTTGGTATACTTTATGTTGATAATAATTAATTTCTAAATTAATGAATAATTAATCTTCTTTATATTAGTGTTTTTTATGTTAATAATAATTAATTTCTGAATTAATGAATAATTCATTTAGAATTACGTAGTTAAAATATATGAATATCGATATTCGAAAATGAATAAAATTTTTCTACACAGTAGAGGATTATAACTGGTATTTTTTATTTTTTTAATTTGTTGTGTACTAATTAATCTCCTTTATATTGGTGTCCTTTATGTTGATAATAATTGATTTTTGAATTAATGAATAATTAATCTCCTTTATGTTGGTATACTTTATGTTGATAATAATTAATTTCTAAATTAATGAATAATTAATCTTCTTTATATTAGTGTTTTTTATGTTAATAATAATTAATTTCTGAATTAATGAATAATTCATTTAGAATTACGCAGTTAAAATATATGAATATCGATATTCGAAAATGAATAAAATTTCTCTACACAGTAGAGAATTATAACTGGTATTTTTTATTTTTTTAATTTGTTGTGTACTAATTAATCTCCTTTATATTGGTGTCCTTTATGTTGATAATAATTGATTTTTGAATTAATGAATAATTAATCTCCTTTATGTTGGTATACTTTATGTTGATAATAATTAATTTCTAAATTAATGAATAATTAATCTTCTTTATATTAGTGTTTTTTATGTTAATAATAATTAATTTCTGAATTAATGAATAATTCATTTAGAATTACGTAGTTAAAATATATGAATATCGATATTCGAAAATGAATAAAATTTTTCTACACAGTAAAGGATTATAACTGGTATTTTTTATTTTTTTAATTTGTTGTGTACTAAGAATGTTTTATTTTGAGGGATTATTGCATTATATTTAATATATTATAATGTAAACGAATAATTGGAAATTTTTGTCTTTCACTTAGATTAGGTCAATTTAGATTTATTAAAATTAAAGAAAGAACGTGTGTGGGGTTGAAACAAAGGTTGTCAGGTGAAAGTAAAATTTAATTAAAAAAGTATCTTTGCGATGTACGTAAAGTGTCGTTATTGTGAAAACCTTATCTTTCGCGAGTGGGAAAATAGTTGGAATTATATAAAATATCTCATGTGGTGTTTCGCGTTATGTGCAGATTTCATTTCCTGATTAATTTCACTTTGAACAAATAAAGCTAACTCTCATAATAATTCTTCCCTAGATGCACGTACCTATAGTTTGTCAATTAAATTATAAGATGGAGCACAGAGAAAGACTATAAGAAACTCCTGCTGGTGGAAAGTATTAGGAACTGTTTTCGAATATTCCTTTAATAATAACAGAATTTTATATTACATATACTATATTATATAATACTACAAAAATAGTTATCCTACAAAACTTCATGAATTTTCAATAAATTTATTCTTGATTATTAGTAACTCTCTAAACCTAGTTTAAATCAATTGCTAATACTTGAGAATTTTATTTTGATACTTTAGATCATAGTTATTTTTCATATTATAAATAAATTACAAATAAATTATAATTCAGATTAATTGATTTTATTGATAATTATCGAATAAAATAAAATATAGAAAAGGGGTAGGTAATTAGTGTTATTATAAAATCAATCAAAATTAAACCTACTTTTCTTTTGTTATAAAAGAAATGAAAAGGGACAAATAATTATCATTATTATTATTATTATTATTATTATTATTATTATTATTAAATCAATAAAAATTGTACCTATTTTTCTCTCATTATATTAACGAAAGATATAGTATATTCTTTATAGTGTAACACAGAATTTTAATAATTAGTAGTTTACATTTGTCGTGAGATGAAAAAGATTGAAAATTGCCTGTTCAAATTTAATCAAACGAATACCTTCAAATAAATCTGCATAATACCCGAACAAGAATTAGAAAATTAAGAAAATAAACATTATGGCTCTCGCGCATCTATCCTTTCTAAAATCATTCTAATTACAGACATTCCGGGAGAAATGAAAAATACGATTTAAAAAAATTTCAAAGCCTCGTAATCTAGCCGTAAATCAGGATATAATGACTCGAGAAGAAAGACAAAAGCCATTCCTCCGTGTATGTCGTGAGCGACTGCTTTGCATACAGATTGTGCATTACCAGGCTTGTAACGTGCAAACAATTTACCATAATCGGCTGGAATTCCGCTTTTATTGACAAGGACTAATGATAGTGATTAAGAAAGTAAAGAAATAAGAAAAATTCGAAGAGACGAGGTGAAAATTCGAGAAGGGTAGATCGCGGAATTATCGAGGTTCGGTGAAACTTTCTTGAACCAGACGATTATTTACATCGTGGCCCTGAACTTTCAACCGTGTAAAAATGCAGCAGGACAGACATAAATCGTGCTTATCTTCGGTTACATCCTCGTCCCTCAAGCACGAACGCGTAATTCTATGGAATTATAAACGACCGGTTACGGGGTATATGGCTTTTCTAGGATTTTTATACTTTAATTTAATAAATTTTAAACGAAGAAATTTAAAAATTAAGTCTGTTCGATTTTTAAAATCTTACATGATTTGAGTTCAGATCGACGTAAGTCAGATCGGTTTTTATCTATAATAAATTATATAAATTAATTGAAGAAAGAGTTGCTTATTAAATATTTTATTAGGTTTAGTGGAATTATTTGAGATATTATGTGGAAATTTGAATGTATTTTGGTTGATTAATAGTAATTTCTACATCATAATTTTGTTAGTTTACTGAAATATTATATATTACTGAATATTATTAATATTATTAATATTTTATTATTATTGTTATTAATATTATTATATTATTACTGAAATTAATTTGTCTTTTCTCTAATGCTTTATTCTACGATGATTGATTGATTTTAATTAATTTTAAGAATTGTGTAATGCAAAGTAAATTGGAATAATATAATTTTATTTTTAACAGCTAATGCTATTTTATAGTTTAGGCAGTTTTACATAATTATTAATAAGTTGCTCATTTTGTATCGGATTCAGTAGCTAATATCACTGTTTTCTTCCAAATTATTGCTATAAACTGTATGTTTATAAATAATTAAAATACATAAAGTGTAATTATTGTAATATTACATATTAATATTTTAACAATTTCAGTATTGTATATTATATATTCATGAATCACAAATTAAAAATTAAAATCACTATTTTAAGTTTCCAACCATGGTAAACCTATACTTAATACCCCATAACACTCCAAATATTAAATAAAGCCCCATAACCCCCATTAAAAGATAATTTATTGTTAATTCCACAGAATTCGAGTTTATTTTATTAAAAATTGTAACCAAATGCTTTTATATATTATTTATTTGATTCAAAAACAACACAAAATGTTAAAAAACAAAATTATATTTTTCCTACAACCATAAGCGCCATCTATTATATAGCATCCACTACTCTCTCAAAATACAGATATACTGAACACCCTTTTCAAACACGATTTCCAAAAATTTACTATTCAATTACAAAAACAAAGTTCGAAAAACTTATTACAAAGGCGAATACTTATGAAATCGAATTATTACACATCTAAAATGGTAACAGGATAACAGCTTCGCCAGAAATCAACAACGCCATCTACATACAACATCTAATACCCTTCACTCGGATCACAAATAGACTCGACCTTTCGAACCATATTTCCAAAAAGTTGCCTTCCAATTGCGAAATCAGAGTTCGCGGAACTTATTGCAAAGGCGAAAATTGATTAAATCGAACCACGTGGAAAAATGTCAGCTACGCGGGCGAAATTAGAGGACATTACATGGACGTTATAGAAGGGAACAGTAATAGGCTCTAAACGTACTCTAAAAACCTCATAAAACAATCTCCCAGGGGGCAACCTCGACTTTTTCTCACCTTTTGGCAGAGCTGAAAAGTCACGGTAATTTTCGAAATTGCCAGATCCTCGTTTACCTT